GGGGGGGGTGGCGGGTGGGCCCTCGCAGAGGGGGGCGGGGGGGGGGGCGGAGGTCCGGCTGGGGAGGGGGCCGCCCCGCCTGTGCAGGCCGTGGGGATGCTCTGGGGCTGGCGGAGGGTCAGCGGGGCAGGCTCTCGGGGGCAGTGGCGCCTAGTCCTCTATGACGATGGGTTCGTCGTTGACCGGTGCGGGCGGGGGCGGCCGCAGCGGCAGGGCCTGGCTCTGGCGCAGGGCGATGGGCTTGTAGGGCCGGCGGGCAGCGCGCTTGGTCTCCGAGGACGAGAGTAGCTTGCGGATCTTCCTGTGAGTGCAGAGAGATGGGCCGGTGAGGGCCAGAACATGGTGGCTGTGCCTACCTACCCGTCCCCGGAAGCTCCCACCTGGTCTCCTCGGTGGCCATGTAAAACACGTCATCTGGGGCATCAATCCAGTTCATCCGCCGCCGCTTGACAGGGGGCAGTGAGCCCCCCCGGATCAGGCGCACTTTGGTGGGGTATGACTTCCCGTTGAGCAGGAGGTTGCGGCTTGGTCCCTGCGGTGGAGGGAGTGTGAGGGGCCACCTGGAAAGGCACCTGCACCCAGGCGCACAGCTTCCCAGCAGCCAGGCCCATGGGCACTGCCTGCTGTCTGCCCCTCCTCTGGTTTGGCCAGGCCTCCCGAGACTCCCACGTGGCACCTGGGCACAGCTGTCTGGGCCTCCTCCCAACCCCCCGAGGGAGCTGCGTGACCATACATGTGAGTGTGTGTCACATCGCTGGCCCGCCCTCTTACCATGTGCCTCGTCTGTCCGTGGTTTGCCAGACCTGATGAGAAAAGAATGGAATGTGAGTCCCGGGGGAGCCAGCCATGGGACACAGTGGACAGAGACCAGAGACGGAACCTTGGGGGTCACCCCCAAGCCACAGCCCACACCCAGGAAGTGCCTGAGGAGACGCAGGCACCTCAGCTCCACTTGGTCCCAGCCTCGCCCAGACAGTGGTGCCCAGATGGCCTCTCAGCTCTCGAGGATCTGGGGCCACCTTTGTCCTGGCCAGTAGCAGATGCACCAGCTGGGGCCCCAGGCAGGAGACTGGAGGTCTTGGGTCTGATGGCATGCTCCCTACACACGGGCCACCCACCTGCCCGACTGGGCTGAGAAACAAAGCCCAGCTGACATGGTGGCCAGGTGACGCCTAGCAGGGCTGTAATACAGCAGCCCAGAGAGCCGCTCTGCGGTCAGCTGCACCGTGGCACTGCTCCGACCCTGGGAGACCAGGATGTACCTGCTTCTTTCTAAGGGCTCCAAGCCACCCCCCGACCCAGGGCCAGGGCATCTAGAGCCCCAAGCCCCTGCTGGTGGCTCAGTCATGGCCCACAGCAACACCTGGGTCCAGCCATCCGACAGTATGCTAGGTGAGGACCCAAAAGGAGAAAGCTAAACCCAGGCTGAAGGGCAGGCCAGGCTCCCTGTCACCCCCCACATGGCCTTGGAGCCTCAGCCGGGCCCACTCCAGCCCTGCCTTGAGCTTATGTGAGCACGGGTAAGCAGGAGCAGGACTCAGGATGGCCCGGCCCCCAGCAGGACCAACCCTTGAAGATGACAGGGCGCCACCTTTCAACTCCACTATGTGTATACTCCACCAGTATCCTGCCAGTCCTAAGAACGCCTCTCAGCTGAGGTCTGCCCCTTTAGGCGCAAAAGCCTGTCCAGCCCCTATTCTGTCTGCAAGATGCCTTGTAACTTGGGGTGCCCCTGGGTGGCCCACTCAGGCCTTGGGGAGCCCCGGGCTTAGCTCTCCCCCACCAGCCTGCTTGGCTCTGCCAGTTGGGTGTGGGGGCCCAGGCATCTGGTCTGCAGCCCCCCTGGGCAGGGACAGCCACCAGCACAAACTACTTACCCAGGTAAGTGCCTACCAGTACGAGGGTTGGCAGAGGGAAGAAAACACATGCTAGAATTAGAGCGAGTGCCACACACCCGTCGTGGGCCCGAGGACGCGATGCACAGCAGCAGCGGCACAGGTGGGCAGGCAGGGAGTGAGTTACACCCCCACAGGGCTGGGGAGCAGCCTTGCCCGGAGCTCAGCTAACGCCAGGCCAAGTTGGACAGACCCCACCCCTCTGTGGCAATGCCCCCCAGGGCCAGGGCCACCTGGGCTGGGGGCTGCCTCCTTCCAGCTGGCCCAGGGCTCACAGTCCCTCTCCAGCGCCCAGTCACAAACCGCACCTCAGTACGGCTCCTCCCTCTTGGCTGGCTGACCCCTTTGAGCCTGGACCCATCCCCGGCCAGCAGGAGCCAGCAGGAGCCAGCAGGAGCCCCTCACAGGGCTGTGCAGGGCTCCCCTCGCGCCCAGGAGGGGCGCCCACCACAGGATGCTCCTCGGGAACCGCACAGCCAGGAAGGAATATGTGGATTTTGTAAAATTTAATGGGAATGAGCGGACACTTATCTAACTTGTTTGTTAACAGCTTTTTTGGAAAACAAAACCAAAAGCTCAGAGATGCATGCCAACGAGGACTCGCTTCCACTTCTTTAAGATTTGATGGTGCCCCACTGTGGGGTGCAGACAAGTGAGGCCAGCCCAGGGGAAGGCTGACCGCCAGGCGTGTGTGGCCGGGGCAATATGGAGCCCCCCCAGAGGGGCTGGCGGATTGAGGTAGCACGGGCAGTGAGGGGGCCGGGGCAGGTGAGAGGCCTCACAGATCGAGACAGAAGAACCTGGTACCTGCCAATGCAGAGCTGCCAGCTGACCCCACAGGGATGTGCCTGCTAGGGTGCCCAGCAGCCTGCAAGGCTCCCAAAAGCAGCTGAGAGGACGTGTCCCAACGGACAAGGCTCAGCTGCCCGTTGCCACCTCCTAGGCCCTGCTAGCCCCACCCTGCCTCAGCTAACACCAGGTGTGAGCAGCCCCTATTCCATGCGGGTGGGCCCACAGTCTGTGTGCACCCACAGGGCCAGCCAGCACCCCACACGCCCTGGGAGGCCCAGGCTGGTGCTTGCCCGGCCTTGAACACCTCCCTTCCCACACTGGCATGCCCAAGCTAGGTTCTGTCCATTCATCCTGGAGGGGCCGGGGTCCCACAGCCCCCTGCTGCAGCCAGCACAGGGCACCCAAGCCAGTCCTCAGATAGACGGCACCGAGAACAAGTTCAGTCACCCACAGCCTATATAGATACCCCAACCAGCCCTACTGTCCCCCTCCCCCCAGCAGGGTGCACACAAGGGCTGCAGGCACAGCACAGGTGGCCCCAGAGCTGAGGCTGGCAGCATGCGGGCAGTCACAGCGCGACGGCAGACACACGGTGGGCGGCGGGGGCACCAGGGCCGCATGTGCAAGGACAGTCCACTGACAAGGTGCCGGCTGGAAACCAAGGCCACATGCCCGGGCTTGTGAGCTCCTCGCCAAGTGACCAGTGAAGGTGGGAAGAGCGTGGGGGGGACCAGGCCTGCGTGGACTGCCCCAGGACACGCCCTGAACCACCACCGCGCCACCAACACGCAGGCAGCACAGCACACACAGGCATCGCGACAGCGGGGCTGGGCGGCAGCACCCCCACCAGCGGCCCCCAGGCCTTACCCCTACTGGGCATCAAGAGGCGCTTCTTCATGTTGCCTGGCAGCGCCCAGGGGATGGGAGAGAGAGGGAGAGAAAACACGGTCAACAGGCGTGCCACGGTGGGCGAGGCCATGGGGAGCCCCGGCTACAGCTGCACTTGCTCGAGCGACCCTGCCCAGCCCTCCACCAGGTGGGCGCCGCAACCCAGGCTCACCGTCCACCCCGTTGTGCTGCTCGTAGCTCCTCTTGCCCAGGATGGTGGGGGAGCCATTGTTGATGACAGGGGCCGACTTGGCAGGGGTCAGGCTGCTGAGCACACTGGACATGCTCTTCACCGGGTCAGGCTTCGGGGGGCGGGGGTGGGTCTCTGTCCAGAGTGACACAAGCAGAACAGTGTCACAGGGACACTCCCTCAGTGGCACAGCCCCAGTCCCACGGCCTCGGCCCATCCTCACTACATGGACACCAGGACCCCTGGGGCCAGAGTCTCAATGGCCTCAGCCCCTGGCCGGCCGGCCACATCACTGGGCAACCACCGGCAGCTTGCAGGATCCAGATACAGGCTGCAAACACAGCAGGCCTGTTAGATGGCCTCCAGGCCCAGGCCCAGGGCCCCGGGGCTGACTACAGAGGGCTGGCTGCTGGCCAGACAATGAACTGACTGCCTGGTCAAGAACACACCCTACTGAGGGCTGACCCTGGCATTGGCCACCTCCTCCCAAAGGACAAGTGCGAGGCCGGCCTGGGGCCTGAGACCCTAAACAGCAAGCAGTGACAAAGCCACTTGTGTCTGCATGAAGCACACTTAGCTCATGACTCCAGAAAAACCTTCCAGAAGGAAAGCCACCTCCACAGGGATAACGAACTATGCGCCCACCCAAGCCCAGCAAACCAGAGAGCACCCCTACCATACCCCTGAACATCTGGCCCAGCCCCCAGAACAAGCCACTCTAGCTGGACCAGGGGAATAGGCTGAGGTTCTTGGGTGTCCCCAGACCTGTACAGGTAGGAAGACCCCTCCCCACGAGGCTGCTGGCCAGGTGTGCACCTCCCACCCAGCCAAGGGCTACAAAGGCCTGAGTGCTGCCCTTGGTGGGGAGCTTGGCTCAGGGAGAACCTACCCTGTGGGCAGCAGGTGCCCACCCCAGACCCTAGCACCCCAGATGTCCAGGATGGCCACGCTGTCCCAGGACAGCCAGGAAACAGGGGACTGGGATACGGAGGCAGCTGGAAGTGCCTGGGGAGGCTGGATCCTGCAGGACCCCAGGGCTAGGGACAGAGAGCAGCATGGGCCCCAGTGGGTCTGCCTGAGCCTGGCTCAGTGCACGGGATCCTAAAATGGCAGCTCCATAGCCCGGGCAATTGCTCAGCGGCTGCCTGCTGGAAGAGGCTTGGACTGCCTTCATTAGCAGCAAGTGAGCCTGCCCCACTCCAGCCAGCCCAGCCAGCTTACCAAGATACCGGAGCACAGCTTCCAGGGGCTTCCGCACGGCCTGCTTCAGCACCAGCGGGCTCTGGGAAGCTTCAGGCAGCCGGGCCGTGCCTGCAGGGGGACCACAAGTTGTGAGGGGCTATGTGCCTCAAAGAGAGCCTAAGCTCTGGCTTGCACCCCAGCCCGGGTGTTCCCACTGGGCCTGCCACTGCTGGCCCCAGGGAGGAAATGGGAGCCCTGAGGATCAGAACTCTCCTGGGGCGGTGGCTGAGGCAGCAGCTGCACCCCCCACCACCCCCCACAGGGACAGAGTGACGGGGGGGAGGCACTCACACTCAGCCTTGATGGCTGCGCTGTTGATGGGCATGTAGGGGTGCCGGGCGGCATGCCAGGGGCGCAGGATCTCGCGGCACAAGCGCCGAGCAATCCTCGTCAGCTTGGTGGTGTGCAGATAGAAGGCCTGCCGTGTCTTCATAGCAAACTTGGGGCTCCCGCTGCTCCGGGCTGGGATGCCGTGGGGACTCTGCGGAAGGGGGCGCACCGCCCCGACACAGCGCCATGACCGGGGGCCGAGGACCCGCACTGCCCCCGTGTGGTGGGCGGGGCGGGTGCAGCCCACTTACCATGTTATTGCGGTTTGGTCCTGGCCTCTCTCCATCTAACCGGGTTGGCATTTTCAAGCCACCATATTTCTTCCAATATGTCCAACAAGATGCGCAGAGACGACACTGCATGTTAGGGGGACCCCAAGAATACCACTGGTAAGACTGTGTGGCTACGGACAACAAAGTTGGAAATAGACGGATTCTTAAGCAGAACCAGCGATTGCAGAGAGCATTCCACAGTGTCACTGCCCGCCCAGGCCTCCCAGCCGGCCCAGGGCAGGATGGGGTCCCCGGCACCCCATCCAAGGGTCAACTCCCTGCATACCCCAGAGGCTCCCCCAACCACACCCCACAACCAAGGCAGCCCTGACTACGGTGGGCCACTCCCAGGCCAGGCCACAGTGGCACCTTGGATGAGGTAGCGTGGCCCTGCCGCCCAGGGGCAGGAGCTGGGCGGGGCACTTACTGTAACAACTCTCGCAGGCCCGGCCAGCACCGGGGCTCTGTCCAGGGGCCCCCGTGCCATTCACCACGCCAGCCTTGACGTTGTTGACGCTGATCTGGTTTGGATTTGGCTTGTTACTTAAAGAGCAAGGGGAGAGAAGAGAGGGAGTCACAGGAGCACAAACCCTTCAGGCCGCCTCTGTGGTTCACGGGCCGCAGGCCAGCCCCATACCCAGACTTGCGTCCCTGCATCCCCTGCAGCACACAGGCCCTTCTTTCTCCCCTTCGAGGTCCTGGTAGTGGCTGCCAGGGATTCGAGCCATGCTCCACACCCCTGGCTCTCTGTGTGCTGAGCACAGAGCCCAGCTTGCTGGCCAAACCCCGGGCTGTACGGGTGGGAATCCTGGTGTCTCTTACTCACCAGGAGGCCAGGATGGACTGACACATGGTGGCCGTGAATGCAGGGCTAGAGACCCCCACAGCAGGCCACAGGTGCCCTCCAGGGACTGCTTGACCAGGTCCCTCCCTGACATTCCTAACACTACACCAGGGCAGCACGGGAGCCCCCAGCCACCTCAGGACCCATGTGACCCAGCACCCTCTACCCACCCCTGCCACGGAGAGCCCCCAGGGATCACAGGCTGGTGGCTGCTGGTACTTACTAGTTGGGAATATAAACTTGCTTTAACTTGCTCTCTGCTTCGGCTGCTTTCAAGCGTTTCTTAAAACAAAACAAGGTTGCAGACGTTAGCTGGGCCCTCCAGGGTGGGGATGCGGAGCAGACGGACTGAAGCGCCCAGAGAGGGGGAACACTGCTGGCTCCCCAGTGCTCTCCCGCTCGGGTAACACATGTGTAAAGTTATCCGAAGACTTGCACAGAACCCAAGAGATGGAAAGAGCCACCCAGCGCGCCCATGTCCTCTGCTCTTCCCGCCCGGGAGGTTGGCCCCGCCGCGCACCTGCTGGACGTATCTGTCGGTGGTCTTCCACATGTAGTAGTACTCGATGATGCTGGTGAGCGACTTCCACGGCAGCTGGCAAGAGGACGGCGCATCAGGCAGGGCAGGGGGAGGGCCAGGCCCTGCTCACAGGGGAGGCAGGGGCATGGCCCAGAGAGGAGCCCCCCAGCTAAAGGCCTGACAGCATGACCCCGGGGAAGAGAAGCCAGGACAGATGGCTGACGCCCCATCACAGGGGTGCTGAGAAAGCCCCTCTCAGGACACTTCTTAAAGCTGTACTTTATCTTGGTCAGACTCCAGATTTCTAAAAATACTTCTCTGGGTTAAGTAATTTAACTTTAGGGCTTCCTTCCTCATACGCTCGGTTCTTTCTTGGATACTTTAATGCCTTTGCTCAGGTCAATGTTTCTTCTTTCTGTGCATAATGACGTTTAAAGCTATGAAATTTCCTCTCAGTGCTTCCTTGGCTACAATCTCAGTATTGTTTGCAGCGTTTTCACTAAGATTATTCTCTAATATTCTGCTACTGTGGTCTTGAGCTCTAGCTCAAACTATTACTTCGAGTGGCATTGTTTAATTTCTAAGGGCTTGGGTTTTTAAAGTCCAGCATCATGGTCAGAGAATCTTGCCTGTAAAGTTTCTGCTTCTCTGGTATTTACCAACTTTCTCCATGTAACAGGTTTTCTGCGAACACGTGTAGGAAAGCGTATATTCTGAGTCATCTGGAGTACAGAATTCAGGGAGTTTCTAGAGTCCGCCTGGACAGGCAGTGCCTCCTGTCTGCCCCACGCTGCTGACACCGCCCAGGCCCCACTCCGTGTGCAGGGCTTCGGGCTCTGTTCTGAGTTCTAGCCCTCGTCTCCTGGCTCTATTGGTTTTCTGTGAGAAGGCTGTGCTCATTTGGTTTAGTCTTTTAGCAAAGTTACAGGTGTATGTGCCCCGCAGAGGCCACTGATCTGTGGCTGGTCAGGAGAGCAAACGACCACCTCCCACAGCAGCTGTCCTCGGCTGGCCTCTGCCCAGACCCAGGGCTCTTCCCACCCGGAGGCCAGGCCGGGCCCCTCCTCCAGCCTCCTGGACACTGCCCGGGCTCCCTGCCACAGTAACATGGGTTCGTTACTGTATGGATGAAGCTCCTAACCAGAAGATGGCAATGCTACCACACCCAACCCCTGAGGGCTCCTCCCTGTCCCTGCAACAGCCCCATTCCTGACAGCAGCCTGCAGGGCTCTGCCACAGTGGTGAGGACACTCTTCCTTCAGTTGAGTTTACAACTATTTTAGGGGAATTTAAGGGTGGGGTCTCCTGAGGCCCCACCTACACTGGAACTCCTGTGGTGGGTGTGCAGAGATGAGGCCTACAGCATGAAGACCCTGCAGGCTCACTGGGTCAGAGCTCTCAAGGGACACAGAACAAGGACACACACGGGAGGCTCGGCTTAGTTAAAAACAAAACAAACACAAGCACAGGGGTCAGAGGGGGAGGGGGGCTAGCAAGTCTCCGAGGCAATGCCCCCAACCCGGATAATGGCCCAGGGCCAACCGTCATCCCTGCCTTCCTGTGGCAGCAGCAGCAGCAGACGCAGCACTCTCAGCCCTGGACCCGTGAGGCGCCCCCACCCACACGCAATCCAAGGGAGCAAGGATTGTGTGGTCAGAGCCTGCGCTGCCCACAGCACACCCAGACATGGGGCACAGCCGGCCACTCCCCTGCCCTTGCCTGTGGCACTTACAAAATCTTGCTGAATGTCTGTGAAATCTTTTCCGTATTTTTCCAGGGCTTCCTCAAAAAGGTTGGCCTCAGACGCTGACCACTCCTCCATCTCGTCCCTGCACAGCACCGGTCCGCCCTGCGGCACCAGGGCCGAGATGGCCTTGGAGATGTCATAAATGTTCTTGTGCAGTGTGTCCATGGCGTGGAACTGCGGCAAGAGACGACAGGGTCACCTGGGGCCTGCACTTTGAGGCCCCCTGGTGGCACTCCCCTCCCCTGACACTGGCCAAGTTTGGGCTGGACCAAGAGAGGCCAAGGTCCATGCAGGATGGTCCTGCATGCCTGTGGTGGGTGCTGGACCCAGGCAGAGGGAAGGGAGAGGTGACAATGCCCTGGCCACAACCCGCCATTCCCAGGGGTCCACTCACAAGGGTGATGTCTCGGGAAGCAGCTGCGGCGCTCATGTGCAGGCTCGGCTGTCGGACAGAGCTGCTGCAGTCCAGAGCCCGTGCAAAAGTGCCCACAGAGCTGGGGAGAAGGAGACGCACTGACCACCGGAGCCGGACGAGCAGGTCAGCCAGGACCACCACCACAGGATGGCCTCCAGGAGTTCCGCTCCCAAGTAGCCGGCGGACCAGGGTGGCCATGGGCACCAGTGACCAACTGTGTGGGTATTGCAGGGAACGGCCCTGGCGCACAAGAGCCACGTATCCCTGTGTCCAATGGCACAGCACGCACAGAACATGTCTCAGCACTAACTTTAAGGACCCTCCAAAAGCCATGTGCTCAGCAGTCGCCACCTTGGGCTTGGGAACCCTGAGATGTCAATGTTCTTGTTTAGGCTTTTCTACACTAAGCTGCTTGCAGGAGAGGCAGATGGAGCATCCCTCCCAACCCCCCCAGCCCATCCCCACCCCCAGACCCTGGCTCAGGGGTTCATCCGGGGCTGTAGCTGCTCAGGGGTTGCTGGTTCCCTCGTGCCTACAGGGACCTGGGTCTCTGGGACTAGCTTCCTTCCTTCCCTGCAGCCTCCACCCCTTCTCCAGGGCTCCAGCATCGGAACGGCACATCTGTCCAGTCCTGTCTCCCAGGCTCCCTTGTCCTCATTGGGGTGGACTGCCCCCAGGATCTGCAGCCCCCAAAGGGCCACCTCCACACTCAGGGAAAGGCTGAGCTGGACCCTCTCAAGCCTCTCAGGGAACCGCTGGGGTCTCAACAATGAGCGAAGGCCCAGCCTAGGGGAGGGGCTTCATGCTGGGATGTGAGAACCAAGGCCCCCACTTCCCCAACACTGGCCACAGAGTGGGGAGAAGTGCGAGCTCCAGGCTGAGCACCCCTGCGAGTCCCGACCGTAGGGGTCCATGCAGTGCCTTGGCCGTCCTTGGTGCCCAGAACTCACCGGGCCACCACCAGGAACTGGTCAATCTGCTTGTCTATAAGCGGGTTGTGCGCCTCCCACACCTTGGTCTCCAGTTTGGACTGGTCACGGCCGTCCTCCTCTCCTACAGCGAAGAAGTGTGGTTTGGTGAGACCCACAGCAGCTCTCAGCAAGGCCTTTCTCAGCTGAGGGTCTGCCTGCTCCCCAGGATCCCACCCCCTCCTCCCCAGGAGCTGGGAGGTGCTAGGGGAGGGGAGAGAGCCGCATGGGCCGTGGGGACGAGGCCAACTGCTGGCGGCAGCACAGGCACATGCTGTCGGGCACAGCACTACACAGGCACGCTCGGCACACAGTGGACTTTCATACTGGGACTGGGAGCAACCAAGTGGTCTTGGGTTAACAGCGAGGTGGAGGGCCTGGGGCAGGCACCCCGAGGTCGGACTCCCAGCACCACCAGCAGACGGGGCCTGCTTAGGGAGTGTGGGCTCGGACAGCCAGCTGTGACCCAAAGGGACAGAGAGACTTGTGTTTTAATTTTAATCAACCTTTTTATTTTAAGACACTGTAGATTCACATGCAGTTGTAAGAAATAACAGATATCTTGTATGCCCTTTATCTAGTTTCCCAGTGACACCACCAGCAGACGGGGCCTGCTTAGGGAGTGTGGGCTCGGACAGCCAGCTGTGACCCAAAAGGACAGAGAGACTTGTGTTTTAATTTTAATCAACCTTTTTATTTTAAGACACTCTAGATTCACATGCAGTTGTAAGAAATAACAGATATCTTGTATGCCCTTTATCTAGTTTCCCAGTGGAAGAGTCTGGCAAAGCTGCAGAACTGTGTCACACCAGACAGTATCGTCGATGCAGCCCAGACGCAGAACCATTTCCCAGGACCCTTGGTCAGAGGCTCCAGCTCCTGCTCACCCTGTGCACAGACGGAGCTGGGGTGCTAGGTATCCTCGTGGAGGGGCCCTCACCTGCCTGCTCAGTCACTTGTTTTTCTGGAGCTGAGAAATGATGGGGAAAAATCCAAAGTTGACAAGCACCATCGGACTGACTCAAATCACCCGGGTCAGGGTTTCTGATGAAATGACAATACAGCAGTGTTGGGAGAATCTCTCAGGAGAATTTGTGTCCCAAGCGTGGCCAGGCAGAAGGAGGACACAGAGAAGAAATCCCACAGTCATCCTTTGTCCACCTCTCCGGCCAAGTGCCACATCCATAATTCAGTGCAGGGTATCAGGCTTCCCACTTTGCACAAGACATGTTTGGCCCCCTGTCCCTGGTGGCTGCTTGGGTACCCTTCACAGGGCATGTCTGCTTCTAGGTCCAGGTACCAAGTAAGCTGTCAGGCTGGAGCAGGGCTGGGCATGGTGGAAAGTCCCCAAGAAAGCAGCTATCCCTCACCATAGGGCACCAGCTTCTGGACTGCCCTGAGGGCTGGTGGCCTCGACTGTGTGCCCAAGGGTAAGGCCTTGTGACTTCCAGGAAAGAGTGTTCAGCCAGACGCCAGGATGGGGCCTGGGAGGAAAGTCCAGTGCTGCAGATGTGCACGTGAATGCCCTGGAGATCAAGTCCTGGGGGCTGTTTTCAGGTTGTCTGCAGGATGAGCACTGGAAGACTTTCCTGATGTCACAGTGGGTCTCCTCCCTGGTGTAGATTCTGCCCCGAGAGCCCTCAACCCGGGCCAGGGGTGCTCCAGGGATAGCTGGCATCCAACTCCTGGTATCCTGGGGTTTCCAGGCCGCCACGCCCAGGCAGCCCATGTTGCCCCTGCTCTCTCCTCACCACCGGTCACCAAGGTCACATTCCCTTCAAAACGCTGAGCACATTAAAAGCAGGTGTGTGATTTCATGTCACTTGAGGGACACGGGCTCATGGAGGCGTGGGAGGCCCTGGAAGCCACGTGAGCAGCTGGCATTGCCCGACCCCCACCAGCCAGCAAGGATGCTGCCCCTCGCAGCAGGCGCCCATGGGCCCAGAGGTGGCAGGAGGGCCACTCTTGCAAGGCCACACTGGCACCTAGGCCCCTCTCCTATGCCAGGGCCTCAGGCAATGTGCAGCTCCCGGGGAAAGAAGCGTGTGGCATGGCCAGCCCACAGCCCCAGGGCCTGCAGGCAGGGCTTCGCCAGGGGCCCTGCTCTGCACTAAGGCAGACCCACAGCCAAGACATGAGCCTCTTCAGGCTCTTCCAGGTGGAGGACGAGAGGGGACGTCAGGCACGTTCTCCTCCGGGAATGTTGGGCAGCGGGTGCTCGAGCGCGGGCCTCTGACCCGAGGGCCCCTGCTTCTTTGGTCCTCACTGCTCAGCTTTCACGGCCAGGGTGTCTGACGCTCCCAGGTGGACGTGGCTGCCATCAGGCCCTCTACCCTCACCCAGTCTGGGAAGCAAGATGCGGCCCGGCAGAGCACCTGGCATGGTGACGGCACAGTGTCCCAGGCTTGTCCCAGCTGGGGACGCCTGCTCCCTGGGGCAGCTCTGCTCCAGCAAGGGCAGCACATGGTGAGCAGCGGGCGGCTCCCGTTGCACAGAGGAGGCATCCAGGACGCCCCAGCAGTGAACATGGGGGGCGAGGGAGCTGAGCCACAGGGACAGAGAAGCCCTGTCGGCAGAGGGAGGGTGGCCTTTGGTACACAGGCTCTATGGAAACCCACCCAGAAGCAGCTGGGCCCCACCACACAGCTGCCTCTCAGCCTCAGCCCTGACCAGACACCAGGAGCCGAGCCCAAGATTGCAAGCCCAAGCCACGGTAAGGAACGGGACCAGCCAGGGACGGACGTGGGGCACCGACGCAAGCAAAGGACACGCGAGCCAGGACCAGCCGTCTGCAACAGCCACCGTCACCTCAGGGAGGCCAGGTGTGTCCACATCTGGGAAGGGAGAGCAGGGAGCTCCTGGGAGAGGAAACAGAAGAGCAGATGCCACAAGAAAGCTCAGAGAAGGAACTAACACAGGAAACACCGGAGGAGAAGCTGAGGCCAAGTGGGGCCAGTGTCCAGTGGGAAAGCAGTGGGAGGAGGGCGCGGGAGGGCCGGCCGCTGCCCAGCGCCATCTACCTGCAGGTCTGCGACGAGCTCAGAGAAGCCACCCCACCTGACATCGCACGTGAAGGAGGGCCACCAAGTCCCCAGCCGAGGACCCCTGGGGATGGGTGCCTTCAGTGAAGGAAAGAGGAGCAGTCCCGAGGAGCCTTGTAACGCCACTGAGGAGGTGCAGTCCCCTCCACCCTACACATGGGAGACAGACGTGCAGCAAAAATGGCCGGCAGGGCAGCCTACCTTGGGGACCACAGGGAGCTAGAGAAACCAGCACCCAGCTAGATGGAGCCGGGAGGAAGCCTGAGAGAGGACCCGACGCGTCCCACTGTGTGCCACAGAGGGCTAGGCCAGGACCAGCCACGCGACTCAGCATCCACATGATCCCCCAGGTAAAAACACCATTTTAACACAACGTGATAACGCAGCCCTGTGGGGACAATGCAGGTGGCATCTGCCAGTGAGAAGAGGCAGGAGGTAGGAGGGGCTCTGGCCTGCATGGACACAGGTGTTAACGGCCAGTGCTCATGGCTGAGAGTAGGAGTGTGCCTGGTGTCACCGGGGCGGCTGAGCAGGCGACTGCAGGAATTCTGCTGCAGAGATGTCCTCCCAGACCCTCCTGAGGCTGAGGCAGCCTCCATAGTAGGAGTGTGCCTGGTGTCACCGGGGCGGCTGAGCAGGCGACTGCAGGAATTCTGCTGCACAGAGATGTCCTCCCAGACCCTCCTGAGGCTGAGGCAGCCTCCACGCCTTGGGAACTGTGAGCGGCGCCATCATCAAACACACCACACAGAACGCCAGCAACCACAGTCCTAAAACATGTCCTGATTCTGAGATGGTGCAACGGGGAAGGGATGCTCAGAAGCAGGAAACACATCCTTCCCGAGAACCACAGCCTGGTGCCCCAGCGCCACAGCTGCGCGAGCCCAGACAAGATGCTTGGCCTCTTGGGGCTGCTCACGCGCGTTCTTAGGACAGGGACAGTGGGGTGTCAGAACTGAGAAGGAGCAGATGGAGGGTCAGAGCTTGTAGCCTCGAGGGCGGACCCGTGGGGTAAAACTCACAAAATGCCAGCTGATTCATTCCAAAGACATTCATTGTTTGGAGACAAAAGACCTTTAAAAAAAAGTCATAAAAAACAACTGCCAAAAAAAAAAAACAAAACAAAAAGGGGCCGGCCCGGTGGCGCACTGCGCTAGTGCGCCGCTTGGAAAGTGCGGCGGCGCTCCCGCTGAGGGTTCGGATCCCACATACAGACCGGTTCCCGCTCACTGGCTGAGCGAGGCGTGGGGGCAACACCGAGGGTTGCGATTCCGTTGCCAGTCCTGGTCCGGTACGGGGGCGACACTGAGGGTTGCAATCCGTTGCCGGACACGGAAAAAGACGAAAAAAAAAAAAAACAACTGCCAAAGAGAAACAAAATCTCAACGCTTCAGGGATGGTTCGATGGACACGTCTGCTTCAAGGGTCTGGGGCCTGCTGCGGGGCCCCACCTTCCAAGGCCTCACCCCCGACCCCCACCAGGAGGGAGTCTCTGTGAAAGCTGGGTGAAGGTGCCAAGGGCACCCAGACATGCCCGCTGCCTGCATAAACTCCATGCCTGGTCCCAGCCCAGCGTCACTGGCAGGCACGACAAAAGGTGAGGGCTGAGCCCTAGCTTCGCACTGCAGCCCCCACCCACACCCCACCTTCTTTCAGCAGGTCAGTGATGTCCGCCTGATACCGGTTGCCCACTCGAATCTCTCCTTTATCAGCCAGGAGGGTCTTCTGCTGTGGGTCGTAGACTAGAGAATAGAAGAAGAAATCCTGAAAAACACCACACACAAGGCAGAGGTCAGTACGTGCCCTTGGTGCCACCAGAGTCCTGCCCGGGGCTGGCCCCGGAGTGACCCCACACCTCCCAGGTCCTGGAGCCCAGCCTGGGAGAAGCCCACAGCGGGGTTCCCGGGGCATCAGCCTGTGGCACTGCAGCGGAGGCCAGAGCAATAAGAAAAGAAAGAGAAACGCAAAGAGGAAGAATTAGAAGGGACCCGACGTGACTACTGCAAAGGATGATTATCCGCTTAAAACCCTCAAAGAACTGACAGATCATGACACTTAATAACAGAGCTCAATGGGTCAGAGTGCACGGTTACAACACAAGGTCAAGGGATCCCCTACGGTCCAACCGCCAAAAAAAGTAATAATAAAAGTTTACCAAGGTCGGCTAGATGTGCATTTCTATCTAGAGCGATAATTTGAAACCTTAAATTTATAAAAAAGAGTTTAAGAGCAACACAACCCGTAAGGCACTAGGAACCCATGCGACAGACTCCGGGTGCACCCTGTGGGCCGTCGCTGGAGTCGCGGAGGCCCTGGGCTCAGTGCCGTGGAGCAGCAGGCTGCAGCCCTCCTCACCCAAGTCCCGCTCTTTCCAAGTCTGTCTTCCAGGCTCCCTTCGGGCTGGAATCTGCAGGACACAGCTTTTATGACCTTTTCCTGCCACGGAGCTGCTTCTGATGATTTTAAGACTCAGGCCTGCCGAGCGAGGCCTCGCCTGGCATTGCCTCCCTCTGCCGCTGCGTGCCCGCGCTCCTACCCTTCTGCCGCTGTTTCCATTTAAGCTTCCTTGACTCCTTTTGCTTGCTTCTCCCGGTCCTCACCCCATTTGCCCTCTACCATCCTGAGAGCTACCCACTCTGTCCAGCCTGGCTCTGCACCGCCCAGCCTGGCTCTGCACCTGCTGCTTTGGAACCAGCCCCTCGCTCACAAACATCTGAGTCCTGTCTGAGTCCAAGGTAACGTTTCTGCCCTGTCACTTCTCTATGTGCCTCTGTCACTAGGGGGTCTTTCTAAACTGCAAACGGCACCCTGCGCTCCCCAAGGAAAACATTCCCAGTGGCTCCCATAGCCTCTGTCCCACCCACCTGGGGCCTCTTGGGCTCTGGCTCCAGCCTCCCAAGGGGCACGGCCCTTGCCTACCCCTCAGGACCACCTCGGGCAACACATCTCACAGCTGTTCTGACTCCTGACTCCTGACTCCGAGCCAGGGCCTGGAGCCACAGCCCGCAGGATCTGTCCACTGCCCCGGTGAGGCCAGCCAAGCCTCCTGTAAGGACCCAGGTGGAGACCTCTGGCAGGGGAATCAGGAGTGCCCCTGGCCTGGTCACATCCTTCCCATGTTGGTCGTCCAGGAGGAAGCAGACCCCTGGGCAGGCAACGGGGAAGCAGAACGGGGAGCCCCAGAGCTGCCAGCCCACAAGGGGACGGGAGGTTGCTGGCGCTGCACACAAGGACACCAGTAAAGTGACCGTTGGGATACCCTCCCCCTTTCCCCTCCGAGCAGTTTGGTTCAGGGTGAGAAGGGAAAACCGTCCCCCTGCCCAGGCCGGTGGAGGGCATGGGTGTAGGATCAGTGGCCCAAGGGGCCAGTGCAGCAGGCCAGACAAGGCTGAGCCTCACCTCCCGCTCCAGGTAGGACTTGAGTGACTCAGTCTCGTTGAGCAGAGTGACGCTGCACTTGCCCCTGGAAGAGAAGGACCAGCAGGTGGAGGAGGAGCAGGTGGTCGGTGGGGCCAGGGCGGGAAGCTCCAGGGGCTACCTGATGTGGGTGGCCGGCAGGGACTCCAGCTGTCGGGAGAGGAACAGCTCCCGGTGCCGCAGCTGGTGCTTGAGCTTCTCAGGTAGATCCACCATTTCTGGGTTTTCCATTTCCTCTTCTATTTCCCCTGAAGGACAAAGAGTCCCCATCAGCTTGATCCTGCAGACACACGGCGGCCACACTGAGGCTCACACCACTCAGGGCCCAGGCCCAAAGTCAGAATGTGAGAGGCCCCGCCCTGGCGACCCCCTCCCTCTGCCACCTGCCACTGTTCCGCTGCCCCTGCCCAAGGTGGCCCAAAGTGCCCCGGCAGGGGCCTCTGCAGATGCTCGGGTGCCGATATGCCTGGTCACGTCCAGGTACCCTGAAAGGCCGGACCCACCGAGATAGCAGGATGGGAAAAGGAGGGACGACACTGTCCAGTGCTGGCCTTGAAAGCAGCGGCCAGAGAGGAAGAAGGGACATGAGGTAGCAGCTGCTACTCATCCAGGACAGGAAGGCGAGGGGCAGGTGTCCACTGCCCACATGCCTGTCCTCCAGTGCCCCAGCCAGATGGCCTGCAGGGCCCACCACAGGCCTGCCTACACCAGCTGGACACCTTCAGGGCCGGGCCACAGCTAAGGCGGGGCTGCAGACGGAAGTGGGAGAAGCCCAGGGACACGGACATGAGGACACCCTTCTTGCAGGGTCGGCTCTTACCTTCATCACCGTTGTCCATCCCCGGTCCAGCTTTATAGCAGACTGACAGGGCTATACAACAGATAGACAGCGCCAGATGGCACAGTTAGCACCAGCACCAGCACCAGCTGCCTGCTCCCTGCCCAGGGCACAGACCAAGGCTGCATAGCCAGGGGGCAAGGCAGACAGGGGCTCACAGGCCTCCTGGTAGAGGTAAAGACTACCCAGGCCTCAACATCCCAACCCAGCCAGCCTTGGCCGCAGTCCACCCAGTGCCCAAGCTGCCCACCCACCTCCTCCTTTGATGGAGTCTCAGACAAGCCTGGCTGCCCAGGACCCTCTCCGAAAGCACAGCTCCTACCCTCCTCAGCCAGACCAAAAGTCAGGAGCCAACCCCTCCTCAGAGGGCAAGGACAGGAGATGACCAGGCAGAGCCACGGCAGGGAGGAGTGGGGGTCCCCTGAACAGGACTGTCCAGAGGCAGGGACAAGTCAGCAGCGTGGGCTTTCTGCCCCAAGGACACTGACCCCAGAGGGGGCCCAGGTTGTGCAAAGGCCTCTACCGCCCACAGGTGGTGGCCCCCGCCCTGTGCTAAATCACCCCTCGCCCATCCCAGGCACCAAAAGCAAGGGTATGGAGCGGTGCCCCCCTACTGTCCCCACGCATGTGCAGCACCGGCTGCCAGAGGGATACTGCTGGCCACTCCTCACCAGGCCCCCAGCCCCCTCCTCCGCTGCCAGTCAGAGCCAGACTGGTTGCTCTCTGCTGCCCCCCGGTGATGGCTGTGGGAAGTCCTGGCACTTTGGACAGGGAACCCCAATCCCCCCGCCAGGCCTTGAAGCTGGGACCAAGGCCAGGGTTGGGGGCAGCAGGGTAGGTGATTCTGGCTCTGCTCCAGGTGCACCTGGCTGGGCCTTATCACCCGCCTATCCATGAAGCAGGGCAAGGCTGACCAGAGCAGCCCCTGTCCCAGCAACTCCCCACTCCTGCGGACACAGAGCACACTGCACCTCAAGTTCAGGAGTCACCAGGGTCCTGACACCTATCCACCAGCCCCACACCCAAGGCTGGCTTCTGCTCACTCCTGCCCTACACTGGGCATGGCCAGGGACCGGGGGCCAGGCCATGTTGGCAGCACCAGCTTTAGGTGGACAGGCCCAGCTCATCCCCAGCCCGGACAGAAGCCCATAGTGGCTTTGAGAACCCCCACCTTGCCAACACCCTGATCAGCAACGGTGAAGGAGGGGCTGCCAGCCTCGGATCGCCAGGACTGCAGTCAGGCTGGCCTCAGCTCCCCCAGGAGGCTCCTCAACAGGGACAGGGATAGCCAGGCAGGGGTATCCCTGCACACCCCACATCCCCCCACACTCCAAGCCCTCCCTCGGGCCCTGGGAACACCAGCCCCAGGCCCAGAGCTGGGGCCAAGGCTCTGCTCTCCCACCCACCACCGCTGTGCTCTCTTGGGCCCCTGCACCTCACTCTGAAAGGTGCTTTGCTCAGAAGGGTTCTGGAAAGGGATGTCGCCTCTGCCTGTCATTCTGTCCTGGGAAAGGTCTTGCCCTCAGGAGGAGAGCCCTGCAGGGGTTCAAGCCACAGCCCCTCATCCAAGAAGGAACCAGGGAAGGAAGGGCTTCTCTGTTGCAAGGGCTGCTGTGCAGTCTGGTCAGAGTCCTGCCTGAGGCCCGTGCTGCAGGATGGAGGCCCCAGCAGGGGCTATGTGAGGGCAGGCACCTGGCTGTGTAGGCCAGAGACCTCCAGAGTCCTCACACCTGTGCCCTGAGATGAGGCTAGGCCTCACCCTAGCTGCAGCAAGTGCACAGATGAACAGGAGAAAGACACATGGAAAGGCCGTTCCCTCTGGGACAGACCAGGATCCTGCAGAAAGCACCACGACACAGAGCAGCTGGTAGAGGCTAGAGCATAGAGGGCAGGAACGGGTGACCGAGCCTGAGCCCCAATAGGCAGCACTGTCCCCTAGGACACTTGCTCCTGTAGCTCAGCTCCCACCTCACAGGAACCCCCTGTAGATTGCTTCCCACAGCAGCTGTCCAGGGTGCACAGTCCAAGGGGGCTCTGCCTGGCACCTGGGGGGTCGCTGCCCTATCCCACCTGATCCAACAAGGCCGTGCTGGAAAACCTGCACTCTAGCACCTCCAGTCAGCTCCCTCCTGAAGCCTCCTCAGCCAAAGGCCGTCCTGTGGGGCCCCTGAAGGCAGAGCCGGGGCCCACAGGGACCACAGAACCCTCAAACCACCGACCCGGGCTCTCAGGAGTGGTGGACACCATGTGCCACCAGGTACAGGGACAGGGACTGCCATCACTCTGGATGGGTTAGAGACATACCCAACTCTGCAGTGATGCCTGCCTCCTTGGGCCACATCCCAGCCAGCCCACCCAGGGCCAGCAGGCTGGTCCCCAGGAGTCATCCAGGCCAGCCCACTACACTCCAACAAGGGACACAGAACAGGCCCCAACATGGCACAGGAGCTGGCCTTGCTTCAGGCTGGAGCCACACCCCTGCAGGGCCAGCAATCACACTGAACATACCTCCAAAGCATGTAGCTTGTGGCCTCCAAGACCCCCAGCTCTTTTCCTTGGCACTTGAGGCCACAGAGTGCAACCAGGGAAGGCACAGGGTTTGGGTAATAGGTCAAGGGTCACTGTGCCTCACCTCTAATGCCCCCTCTTTTGGGTGGATAATCTGCAGGATCCAATTCTTCCAGGCCCATGGTCAACCCCCTGTGGCTTGTAGAGTTCCACCAAGAGCTCATGCCACACTACATGGCACCCAGGGCCAGCCCGGTATCAGGGCCTAGCCCAGCTGTGCTGAAGTTGAGGACAGCTCAAGTCTGCACCCTCCAGGTGTTAAGAACAGGGTCCAGCTATAAGATGGGGCAGCAGGGGCATGTGCCTAAACGCACCTTCCTTCTGACTGGGAGCCCCAGGAGGTGACACATCAGCCCCCAGAACCATCCAGCACCTTCCTGCCCTCACACCGGAAGCCCAGCAAGGCCCCATCCCTCGCCCACTCCGGGAGCCAGGGAGGAGGCCAGCCTGGGTGGCCCCCCCACCTCTCACACTGCTGTGCAGGAGGCAAGGGCAAAAGGTACTGGGGTCCTCCCACCTGATCCACCACCACAGGGAGGCCCTGGCAGCCACGGTCCCTGACCTCCACCCACTAGGAGCTGGGGTCGTGGGGGGCTACAGGTGGGGCCCGTCCTGCTGCCCCATGGAAAAAGGAGGCTTGGGGATAACACCTGATGGACTCACGATGAGAAAAGTAACTGCCCAGGACAGCCCAGAGCAGCCCTGTGGTCAGGCCGCTGGAGGGTCAGGGGACAGTCATGTTCCTCACCTACTGGGAGATGTCACCCCACATAGACCACAGCCAGAGCCCTGGCAGGGGGACACCAGCAGCAGCGGGGAACCACTAAGGTCCTTCAGCAGCAGAGGCTCAGTGTGACTCACGTGACAGTGTATGAGTCCCAGGCCTGGCACCCATGGGCGTCAGAGCCCGTTCCAGCCGCCTCTGCTCCGATGTGAGGGAACAGGGTAGCCTCAGGTGGCTTCCGTGAGGCTCAGGGCAGCTCCTGTTCTGCCCTAACATCCCCCAAGCCCATGGGCGACATACATCCCTCCCGCTGAGCTGTGTGACGCCCCACCACGTCAGCATTTATTGCACTGAGGAGCAAACTATAGAGTAGGGAAAGAGGGACTTATCTTCTAAAAATACCTTTCAGAATGCCAACGGAAACCTCTTAGTAAAACAGACACAAGCGTAAGCGTAGTATGTGCAGGCCCAGGCAGCAGCCACAGCCCCAGGCCAGGGCCTCCCCCACCTCCACCCCACAGGCCTGACAGTCCAGGGGCTGGGCCCAACCTGACACACCAACGGACCTGGAAAGTCTCCAAAAGAAATCACTTAAGGAAAAGAAAGAAACCTCGGTCGATGAACCCCACATCCAGCCATGCCCCACAACAGGCATGCAGGACGCTAGGGAGACGCAGGCCCGCTTCCTGCAGAAGGGCCGGAAAGGGCCCGAGCCACGCGGCACACAGTGGGACCTTGCCACCCTGGCCCAGCGGAGGAGGGTACAGCACGAAGCAGGCAGGGTGGCCTCAGTGAGGCCAGGACCCCAGAGCACACCCTGGGGCGGGGCGGGGTGGAGTAGCTGGAGCAGCTGGCCAGGCATCGGGGCCCAGACTCACTTGCGTGCTTGTCAGCCAGGGCGATGAGGGTGCTGGAGATGTCCCGCCGCCTGTAGAAGCACACCACCTTGGCCTCCACGTTCCCATTGGCTGTCTGTAACAGCAAGGCAGGGCGGCTGAGGACACGCTCAGAGTGGGCCCCCACCCATCCACGGCTCCGACCAGCCGCACAACCATGTCAATCCCTCAGGGCCTCAGAGACGGGCACCTGACGGAAGGAGCAAATCCCACAGCATGTCAAAGCCCACAGCGAAGGGAGGCACCAGCACGGGGGCAACAAGGAGTCCCCAGGTATGCTCAGGAGCAGCCCCACCTCTGACCTACTGAGATAGGTCAGCTAGAGGGCCCTAGAGGGCTGCATATGGACCTGACCACGACCTACAGAGAGCAACCTGAGAGCACCAGGGACCCCGAGGAAAAGGCCCTGAGCTGGGCAGGACCTCGGCCAGCTCCTGGGGCCCCAGCACCTGCCCCTCCCACAGGTTCATGTGTGGACTGGGCCCAGCAGTTGCCACATCAGCCACTGGGGGCTCCCACCAAGATGGCCCCTGAGGAGGTGGAGGCCACGGCCTGGACTGCCTGTCCTTCCTTAGGTGCTGCTTGCCTGCCACCAAAAGTCCTCAAGGACAGCTCTGGCTACAGAGTTTAGGCAAATCCTGCTCTGCCTTCGGCCTTGGGCAGTAGAGGCCACCCTTCCTCCCCTGGCACCATTGCCAGCGTGTCAAGGATACACAGCTGGCTGCCTGTCTCTATCCCTTTCCATGAGCAAAGCAGGCTCAGGTCAGGGATTCGGATCCACACGAAACAGAGAAGCCACAGGTGGCACTTGAAGCCCAAATCCTGAGAGTTTTAACTTGGACTCCTGCTGAAATTCCAAGTCGGCAGAGCTGTAAATAGTCTACTTAGTATCAGGGTGAAATGCTGCCACAGGAAGAATGGATCTTCTTTGAACTAACGGGTCTGTATAAAATTGTGATGCTGATGTGAGGATGGCAGCTGTAGGAACTGTGGGATTGCACAGCACACCGTTAAGAGTGGGGGCTCCCTCCTGGGGGCAGAGCACCCACATGCGTGATCCAGAGTTCTGTGCACAGGACACATGTCCCTCCCCGTGTATTCATCACATCCCCATGGACTCATGGACACTGCGTGCTGAGTGCCACCCACTGCTGCCAGTCCCCTGCTTCAGCCACTGGGACCTTACTCAGCCGGCTCTTGTGTCCTGCTGACATGCCCCACCACAGAGGGGTTTAAAAAGCATTCATTTTTAAACTCAGATCTTATCATGGTAATACGTGTGCAGTGTGAGATGTCAGTGCGTTGGGAGCCTTGCAATGCCGCCCAGCAGCCCCCACCCCTGCCCGGACGTGCCAGGCCAAGGTCATCCCTGTAGACGAGGCACCTGTCCTTGTGCCCGCCCCCCACACACGCCCTCCCCACCGTACCCTACCTTTGACTGAGCCAAGCTTCAGTGTGTGCTTGTTATGACTGTGTATGCATGTGCAAAATCGGCCGAGCCACACTGAGACGTCCCTCCTTTCCTCAACAACTTTGTTTCCTGAGGCTAACAATGAGGCGTTTTCTCCATTTGCTTACTTTTCTGTGTAATAGCTGATTCTTCCCAAAGCACGTCGGGAGCCCCGTGGAGACCCACCCCCTGCAGACGCCGCCAGCCCCTCCTTCCCAGGATAGGGACCTCGTTTTGGTGGTGTCAGTGGTGACCTTCCCTGGGCGGCCACTTGGCAGGTGCAGAACTCACCTGCAGCACTGCTGCTGAAAAGGCACATGTGGTTGGCCCCTGGCCCTTCACATGTGGCCTGCTCCTCTCAACATGTTTCACCTCCCAGGTTCTGAAATTTTAAAATATGCCTTGAAGGACGCCCTCTAGAACAGTCCTGAGAGGTTTCCTTATTTCTTAGGCCCTTCCTTCTTCTGTTTGCAGGTCTCTTGTTTTCCATAACTCCTACTAACTGGATGTTGGACCATAGAACCAATTCTTTAATTTTCTGCTTATTTGTCTCTCCCAGTCTTTGTGTTTTTGTGCTACTCTCTGGGAGGTATTCTCAACTTTATCTCTGTGACGGTCAAGTTTAGGTGTCAACTTGACTGGATGAAGGACACCTAGAGGCTGGCAAAGCGTTCTTCCCGGTGTGTCCATGGGATGTCTCCAGAGGAGGTGGTGGGTCGCGTTGGTGGGACATTCTCCTCAATGCGGGTGGCACCACCCACTTTGCTGGGGGCCCGAATGGAACAAAAAAGGAGAAAAAGGGATTTCCTCTGTCTCTCCCTCTCTCTTCCCCAGAACTGGGACACTGTCCTCCTCCTGCCTGTGAATGCCACACCTCCAGGCTCTCTGGCCTTGGGACTCCAGGGCTCACACCAGCAGCCCCCCACCCCACCCTAGGTTCTCAGGCTTCAGCCTTGGACTGGAGTTACACCACCAGCTCCCCCGGTTCTGAGGCTTCAGGACTTAGACCAAGCCACACTGCCAGCATCCTGGGGTCTCCAGCTTGCAGACGGCCTGTTTTGGGATTGACTTCTCAGCTTCCATGATCACATGAGCCAATCCCCTCATAAATGCCCTCTCATGTATCTATGCAATTATGCACCACATAACGACATTTTGGTCAGCAATGGACCACATACAGGACAGGGTCCCATGAGATTATAATGGAGCTTAAAAATTCCCATCACCTGGTAACACTGCAGCCATCATAAGGTTGTAGTGCAATTACTTTATTATTTAAAATAAATTTAGTGTACAGCGCTTATAAAAGTCTACAGCGGCACAAAATAACATTCTCAGCCTTCATTCACTCAACGCCACTCACTGACTCACCCAGAGCAAGTTCCAGTCCTGTGAGCTCCATGCATGATAAGTGCCCCATACAGGTGTGCCTTTTAAAAAATCTTTTATACCATAATTTTATTGTACCTTTTCTGTGTATAGATAGGTTTTGGAACACAGGTGCTCACCGCTGTTACAACTGCTCACAGTATGCAGTACAGTCACATGCTGCACAGGTTTGTGGCCTGGGAGCCACGGGCTGGACCACACAGCCAAGTGTGCAGCTGGCTGCACCATCCAGGTTTGTTGAGTGCACCTGTGATGTTCCCAGAACCAGGAAATCGCCTAATGATGCATTTCTCAGGAGGTATCCCTTTCAATAAGTGACACGTGATTGTATATCCATCCTATTCGTTCAGTCTCTCCAGAGACCCCAGTGTAGCCACCTGTCCTCTCACTCTGCTTTTTGCTCCTGTGCACCACGTGCATTTTCAAGAGCATCTCTCCACATTTAAGGTGCACCTTTTTCCTCTCTCTGAGAATGTCAGCAGGTTTTGTTTTACTTTCAGTTTTCTTCTGTTTCCTGCATCAGCTCTGTTTCTTCCTAGTTCCGTTTCTATGTATTTTGATCTGTCTTCATGTGAAAAGCCCTCCCAAACATCCCACGACTCTTGGCTGCTGGGAACTCTGTAAAAGCTGGATGGCTGGGTGTGCGGGCTTCACTGCTGGGTGACAGTGGGAGTCGGTGTTCTGCCAGGGGCCACCAACACCAAAAGCCATGCTCTGGCAACCCAGATAGAAGGTATCCACGCCATCCAGAGCTCCAGAAGCCTGGCTGTCAGGGTCCTAGGATACAAGTGTGTAATGGGGCCAGGGTGGGGCCACAGGGAAGAGCCTACCAACGAACCCATTTCCAGCCCCTGCCTGAGCTGCAGATGCCTCTGAGTCCACTGCTCCAGTACAGAACAGGGTTCTGCAAGTCCCTCTGATCCCCGCACAGATTTTCAACCTATTCTCTGAGTTTCCAGGCCCGATTCCTGTGCCTCCATTTGGCTCCTCTTGCTCCCTCCTGGGGGCTGGAGTTTCTAGGCTCAACCAGTCCATCTGCTCCCTGACCTGTGCGGTGCCTCCTCTCCCGCCCCCTCCATCCCGTGGATGTGGAGCTTTGGTGTTCCTTTCCTGCTATTCCAGGGGGTGTTCAGGTGAGAGAACAGAAGGGAAAAGTCTGTGCTCAACTGCTGCGGCTACCTGGGAGCCCCTCCCCCTGCCGTCCCACCTCTGGAATCCTGGAATTTCTCATTCCCGACAGCAGTGCCCATGCTCTGTCGTGGGGTCTTGCGGTTCTTTTACACTGTTGAGCGTGCAGGCTCTGTGGTCATTCAGCTGCTCTGACCTGAACTGTCACAAGGAGAGTGCGACGGCATCCCTCACAGGCTTGTGTTGAGATTAGTGAGTGACAAGGCAGATGTCATGTGGCCCTGGCCCTGAGCAGGTGTACAGGTAGGAAGGTCAGTCTGCAGTGGGGTCCTAGGACAAAGAGGACACCCCGAGTGTGCTCGATGCTCGTCAGTAGCCAAACATCACAAAAGGGTGGAAATCTGGGCTCCAACAGCCCGTGCACACATGTGGGCATCCCCTGCTGGCCCAGCCATGTCGCCAAGGTGTCCACAGCCACTGACCTGAGACATCCCCCTGTGCTCCCCAGGGCCCTGGCCAGCAGAGACCCAGGAGGGGCCCTGTGTACACCCAGTCACTCCTGGCCAGGCTCCACTGCCAGTTGCAGAATCTCACTCTGTGCCTCGGTTTCCACATGTCTCCAAGTCAGCACATGCTTAAATGTGTAAATGGCTGACTGCTTGTCAAGCCTCCATGAGCAGTGTTTTCACCTCAGCTGAGAATGATGGCCACACTTGACCCAAAGTGCCTGCCAGGGCACAGGTTCCAGCAGCATCCAGAGTCCAGGGCCATTCTGTCCTGCAAGCAGGCCTGCACCCAGTGGGGATGGTGACATAGGCTCTGGACAGCCTGGTCACTGCCCATGCCACCAACAGACTGGCACTTAGGCCTCCCAGGAAGCTGCCAGGTGCTCCACCTAGCTGGTGCAGGCTTCACGGAACAGGCTCCCCCTCCCCACTCTCCTTGTCCCCAGGGTACTGGCCGATGCCACAGTGAAAGGCCCCCCCTCGGCATCCACAGGTAGGGTCAGAGGCTCAGGCCTGGCCCCTGTGCCATGCCCAACCAGAGTGCCCACCAGCCAGCCACCAGCAGGCACTGGATCAGGGCTCAGTGTGGCTA